ATCATGCTGTGCATGGATGGATAAGGGAGGAAGGAGGGAGACGGACACAGACGCGGAGATCGCGGGCAGGCACGCACACACGCGCACACGAGTGCCCATTACTACACAGACAAAAACAACAGCAACAAGAACATATCACAAATCTCCTGCCAGCTTTTCTCCCACTCCTCCTCCAGCAAACCAAAAGCCGCAGGCATGCTGAGGAGCAAAGAAAAAGCCGATAAAGTGGTGCCGATGACATGACTACCCGTATCATAAATCCGCAGCCGTCTCTAGGCGATGCTCCATTTTTTTTATTTCTTTTATAGTTGACCTTGTCCTTCCCCCTTGCTCGGGTCTCTTTGGCAGAGCCAGGGCTTGGTGACATTTTCTTCACTTGTTAAGAAAATAAGCCTGGTGGGGGGTGTATGTGGTGATATGACAAACTATTTACAAATTCATGTCAAAGTCAGAGAATACTTTTTTACTGAGGAAAAAAAAAAAGGCAGAAACTCAAAGACTGAAGCTTTTTGTTTTGACATTTTCTAAATGACATCATTAATTTCAGAAGTGCTGCGATATTTCAGTTGAACATTTTCCAGGCAGAATATTCTCCTTTTTCCTTGGAAGTACTGGCTTTCCTTTTAAAAGTTTGACTAAAATCAGAAAGTAAGAGCACAGTGGGAAAACCAGCCCGAGGAAGAATCGAAACATGCTGTTCCAGGCCAAACGACATATCCTGAGAAGATTTATGGCATTCCCTTCCCCGCTTCTATTTGATTAAAATCCAAGAAAATTTCCTGGTTTGCTTTCAGTCGAACTTGCATTTATTCCAGGATACAATCTCAGAAGCTTCAAGGATAAACTCAGCATCACCAGATACCTGTCCTGTCCCACCTGCAGCGCAGCATGTACACGCAATGAGGTTTAGCCGGGTTTTTTCAGCATCCATCAGGGACAGCACAGGTCCCAGGAGTGCAGCTGCAAAGCAGGGCCCACTTTTCCGTATATCACAAGCCTGTTGTTTTATTTTTTTTCCCCCATCGTGCATGGCTAAATGACAGGGTTGTCAGGAGCTGCACTGGAGGTTAACAGAATACACAGGTTCAAAAAGACTTTGGACACACCTGGACTTCAGATCTCAAAGCCTTCCCCTTGAAACTGGAATTTAAAAAAAACAACCAAACTACATGAAATAAAATTAGGGGGATGGATGTTTTGGCAGAGCATTGCCCGCTGGGAACTTACTGGTCATTTAAACAGAGGATTAGTAGTTGTTAGGTTTTTGTTCCAATAATAAAACTGGAATTGCTTTGTAAAGCAGCTAGAAGTCCCCAACAAAGCCAGGGACTGCTTCTTAGATAATGAAATCTCAGACGCTTTGAAATGCCTGGGCAGCTGCATCAAGGAAAAGTGTCAGCAATCTATCTTTTTATAAGGGAAGCTTCTTAGACACAAAGCAGACCTCTTCGCCTCACCTCCCCTCTGTATTTTCCATAAACATCAGCGCTGTAGCAGAGACTCGAGTTGCTCTTTGCTCCCTGGCAGGATTTATCGGCTGGGTACACGGCTTCTGAAGCTCCTGTCCTTGGAGACAAGAGGCCACTCGGAGCACTGGAACTGGTCTGCAGGCGCCGTGTGGGCACAAACACTGTTTGGGCTTTGGTGTGACTTTCACAGACATCTTGCTCCGTTTCCTCACCTCCTCCTAATCCCCCCCCAGGTCAGAGTCCTGTCTCTCCACTGAGAAGCCCCGAGAAGCAAAATCCACTCTGAGAATGAATTACCAGGACACAGGGGGAGAATTTAAAAGACAAATCCCAAACCTCTCTCTCCTGGCAGCGATTCTCCAAGCTGTTCCCTCTGCGAAGCATCCGGCTGCAGGACAGGGCACGAAGGTGTCCCCCAGCCTCCCTTCCCTGTGATGCCTCATGGGCCATGAGCCATCTGGCCCTTGGCAGGCTGAAGACGATGCAGGAGCACAGCTACGGAGACACAGAGAGGTCAGGTCTGCCTTCCCCCAGACACGAGTGGCACCGCAGAGAGGACGTGCGGGGCTGGACAGTTTAAGGGTAGCGCTGGCAGGGATCTCCTCCATCCCGGCGGACCGGTGGGGGATGCTGCTGTTACAACAGAGGTGGATGCTGGCCCAGGCAGCTCCGATACACCGGTACCTCAGCTATTGTCCCAAACTGCTGTGCACAGCAGGCCTGAGGCAGCGAGGATGGAACAGCTGTTTTCAGCTCAATTAGGGACCAGATCAGCTCCCAGCAGAATAAGCAGGGCACCCGCTGCCTCCAGCTTCCCCTCTTCTCCTCGGCTGAGCTTGGAACAGAGGGGAGCCAGGGCTGGGTCTGCAAAACCCACGAGTGAGTGAAGATAAAGGGGCTGCTCGGAAAAGTTCACCGATCCAACCACTGGAGGCTGCTCTGGTTATACATAAATCACCACTGTGCGTGTTGTCAGACATGGAAGACTCAACCCAAGGAAATAAAGGGCAGGGGTTAGAGAGTTTCAGAGCTGCTATTTCCTGGCTTTATACTCCCCAGGCATGCAAATTCACCATGGTCTTTGCCGCTCTATTTTAAAGATCAGAGATCAATCACTTCGTGCAATAAATGCTGCATGTCCAAAAGCCACCTGGAAGGCACAGGAGCCAGCCTGTATTGTACTCAATCCTAAACAGAAAGAATCCAAGGAGCTATTCGGTAGATCAGCTGCAGAGCAGGGTGGCAGACGGAGTGGAGAGGGCACAGAGAGCTGTAGCATAACAAGGTAAAATTAAACCTGTTATAAGTTAACAGTAGTAAGAGTAAGAAGGTGGCG